AGCGGGGGACGGGGAGGACGGGCTATTCACAAGTCATATTTTATCTCTTTGCGTATTTTTTTTTTTTCGCTAAACAATTTTGGTATGGTCTTGAATTCCACCATCCGAGGTTGAGTGTACTTGGATGGCTTTGTATAACGAATGAGCCTGTTGTGGCTACTTATGGTCCAGGTCGGTATGCGTTTCACAGTTCAATCAGTTGTCTTTGCCTGTTTCTTCAAATTCCACTTGCGATTGTGTTAATCTCTCCCGCGCAGTACTCTGAAATGCAACGTAATTTGCAGCACGTAATATTCGCTTATTACCTCGATGAAGTATACTGCGGAAACATTCTGCAAAACGCGTCTTGCTCTGCCCAGAACATATTGTCATTTTATTTTCGTGTTGGTCAAAACATTACCTCGTCTTACCTTCTGGAAGCTGTGTTACCCATTCACATACCATTTTAAGACAAGGTCGTTTGGGCCAGTACAATGATGGGCGATGAGTTGCTGAGCACAGGCCCACAACAGCTAGCCGAAAAAAAGCTGACTCGTGCCAGTTTTTTTGGTACTCACCGAAATTTATTTTTTAATATATTAATTTGGTATGAGAGGAGAACAGGGCTTTATGCTCATTTTTAGGGACATTCTGCCTCAAAAACTGCATCGCTCGCTGATGTGTTTGTGCATCTACAAAAACACACAATGCGTACCGCTTTCCTGGAACGTATCACGGCATTTGTTCACTGGCAGACTGGCTCATTGATCAGCTACTATTTATCTTTTCCAGTGGCATCCTACTTTACTGAACAACATAGGCTTTTAATACCTCTTCAGTCCCACAGCATTTTGAGTAACGGAATGCTGAAAAACTCCGAACTATTGTGCTGCAGCATACACAGTCTTTTGAAAGATCCAAAAAGATGTATCTTGAAACTATTCGCCACTTTGTAACTTTTTAGAAAAGACAGTGCGGGCACTTGGATAGTTTGCTGGCAGATACCTGAAAACTAGTAAATCGTTTGTCTGATAAAATCTGGAACAAATACTAGACATTCAAAGCTTGTTTGAGACCATATAAATTCCTGAGTCAGATAGCGTTGACGATGGCCAGTTTGCTAAATTAGTACAGATTAAGTGAGCAGCTAGTATCCTTGCACAAGTTCTGTTTTCTTCGATCCCAAAAAAGCTTGCAGTTTGCATTTCAGAAACAAGTATAATTTAAACAAATTTAAGCGGTAAATTTTCTTATCATGGTCTAAGAGCGGTACCTTTACGAGGCGGATGACATACATATCAAGGACAACCCAGAATAACTAAATGCCTTCGTCGGAAGAGCCCTTGAGCTGGTCAGTATTCGACGCCAGCACTGGTCTAAGTGACTGGAAAAGTTGCTAACTGCATAGTTGGAACAACAGATTATGAACTGCAGTTGATCCAAACATCCGTGCAACAAATGTAATCGACGTTTGCTGTTTCGTATTATGGGCTGCCTTGCGACACCCAACTGCCTCCTCTGTCTATCAGGCTGAGAGGTCACCCAGACTGGATGCTTCGCAGTTGAATAGACATTTTTTTCTCTTTTTTGTTGAATATAGGAAAGCTCTTATTTTTCCTCATTCTCGGCTGTTTCCAGGACTTCAATGAATAATAAGGGCTAGCATTTTTGTTGATGCGTATTTGTCGCGTGTCTGGTGTTATTATTTCCAGTTAAAGGCTACAGACAGCTCGCAAATTTTTTTTTTAATTTTTAATTTTTTTTAATTTCAGAATTTGGTTTATGAAACTTTCTGTTAAACGCTGGTGACTGCTAAATTTGTTCACTATTGCTTCCAGAGACTATGCTGCTTCACCGAAATGTGTATCAGATTGTAACTATTGAAATGTGATACTACTATTACTTCTGCTGCTACCACTCTTACTATCATTGTCACTGCTATCAGTTTGCAAGCCGCAATGGCCGCTCTACTAGCGTACTTCATGCATACTGTGTTACTGTTTTCCTCACTACTATGCTTGGGTAAGTTGATCCATAAAACTATGATGTTGTTGTCACAAGTGCGTGTCGCTGGTTGGAACTGCTGTTCCAGAATGTTCATGCTGTTGTGGTTCATGGTCCAGATCATAGCTAGGCTGACAGCACATTTTCGCAGACTGTAATAATTCACTGAAAGTTTTCTTGTTCATCGTTACCACCCCTCCTTTCGCAGCAAATCGATAGAGTGGCGCACTGCGTTTTTGCCTTAGTATTGGAACTCACATTACGTGGCCGTTTCCAAATGTTTTTTTGCATCGGCGTATTTCAAACAATTGTTGCTACTGGTAAACTGAATCAAAGTGGTACAAATGTGGCAAATACGGCAGTCCGGAGGCCCAATTCCACTATTACACCATGTGAAGCATCGCTCTCGAAACAGCCGTATTTTTGCTTTCTGAGCTAACCGTGTCTAGCACCAGTTTCTGTGTGCCCGAATAATTTCCTCGCAATTCATCTGAGTGGTCAGTACCTCCTTGTCAAAAAAATTTGTTGATACCGAATGCCCATCGGTTAACAGCAGCGTAAACAGCATGTCCTGCCCACGAATTTCGTTTTCTCGAACAAAATGATAGCTTGTGCAGCGGTCAGTTGTCTCTGTATATTGGCACAAAGAGATATTTCAGGAATCCGTAGCTCCAGCACACTATTCGTTCCAGTACTTCAACATTTTTCCAATTAACTGTGTTTTGCATCCATATACCTTTGATCTCTGATGTGTGGTATTGAAGAAGCGAGCACGGTCTTGTCGATCGAACATGGCTAGGCTGTGAAATTTGCGCATTTTGCTAATCTGTAGTGCAGCCTTCGTCCCGAGATTTTAGCACGTATTCATTTGGGCTCAGCTGTCCATTCCTCTTTGTCTACCTTAGATATTTGAAGATTGCCTGCGACCATGCCGGCACTCAATGTCGATTTCCAGTGTAGCATTTTGTGTTGAGATTTTGTGCCACTGTGTCGAGCACTGTTCCTGACAGAAGCCAATCAGCCCCTAAAGCGTAGGTGGACGAATGTTCGCTGTTCAAGCCAGCAGTGCCTCTACCCCGTTTACAGATAGGATCTTCTCAGCATGTGTAACGTATGGGGGCCCATTTAAAGTAACATAGTACGTCCCATCTAATTTTAATGCACTTTTGGCAGGGTTCTGCACGGCCATCGGCGGAGTTCTGCTCTCTGTTTTTGAATCTTCTTTTCGCCATTTCCACCTCGTCGATTCTGACACCTTCGAAGCACAGTTTGTAGATGCTTGTCTGCCTTCTGCCCCTCCATTTCCCCTCAAAACGCGCTATTGGCGGCAGTGGAACTTGCAGTAATGAGAGTGATTAATTTAAATTTTCAGTACGATGTAATATAATTGATTGGTCCACGATACCGACGCCGCCGCGTTTTATCCACGAGCCCAATGATCCAACAATATATTTTACACTGGAATCAACGCAGTCTTCTGATGGCCATAATCTAGATTATCTAAAGGAACGCACTTTGAGGTGTATTGCTGATGGCAATCCTCCTCCAGGGTACAGAGTTATATTTTTGTCCTAGGTTTCTCGAAATTATCCGGGAATGTTACGAAGAAAAGTATCGCGGTCTGTTTTTGTGGATGGCTGAATCAGGGATTCAGATTTGTTCTTTCTCTTCAGCGCCTCTTTGCTCCGATTTTACCAGTGTAGAAAGACAACTGGAAAAGGATTGCTTTGACTGTCGTCGTGGAAGCTGTCAGAAAACATTTTTTTTTGCCCAAATATTTGATGGAAGTTTTGAGTAAAAGTTAAATCGTTAGTTCTAGTCGAGTATATTGAACTTTCTGTTGTAGATACAAATGGAGAAAAAACGGCAAGCCGTTCAATCTAGCAATGTTCTCGGACCGGATCGCACAGCGACCTGGTGAAGGATCTTTTGTTTTTTCCAAATTAACTGCTGCCGATGAAGGTGTCTACCAGTGTGAAGCCACGAATGACAACGGCACTGCCATCTCCGAGAAAATCACTCTCGAGCAAACATGTTAGTGCACTGATGTAGTTTGTCTTTTTTGGAACCGGTAGATTCATAGCATACACATTTCTTCCTTACGCATTTTTGCGCAGATCCAAAAACTTATATTGGTGAAGCCATGTCTGTTTGTCCAAATTGTTTACTTCAAAATTAAGATAGCAAAAACGTTAATATCAAGGAAAATTAGTCTTCAGCCGTGTAAGTGCCGAAAAGGATCAAATCGTTCAGCTTTTTTTGTACTGCTTCTCTTCAGTTGCTTTGAGACGACGCAGAGCTGCAGCAAGCAGTGCTATATCCCAGATTCCTTTTGTGTGCTTGACAGGAATTCGTTTCTAGTACTCAAAAACCAGCTGCTCATGTCTGATCCTTAAAAAGGCAAAATGTATGACTTGAATGGCGATGCTCTCTCCAGCCAACAACACTCCTCAGTTAATATTCTCTTTTTTCTCTAGATTTTCCATTGAAGTAGTAAGTACAGCATACCTCAGTAAAACCCGTGTCATAAAATCTAGTTTTGCTGCTGTAGAGTAGGTTTGTCTGGGATTAGAGATCACGTAAATTACGTGTCTGTTTTTCCGCCCTTCTGTGGCTCACCACTGATCCCGAATGATGGCGAGGGGGTGAGAGGGCAGGAAATTTGTCTTTAAGCATTTTTATGGCACGTGTTACAGCGCTGCAACAGTCTGGAATAATTGGCCAACACATGGGCTGCCCGTGCGAAGATGCGTTTTTTGCATAGTTTCCCGCAATTTTTGTCGCTACCGAAATCGGTTTTTTCGGCACATGCTTCTAGCTGAACAAATTAAGACCGGCCGCCAGAACTGGCAGGAAACAGCTCCTTAAAATTTCGCCTTTCTAGCTTTCCTGGCTCTTGAGTTATCAGCTACTTGGACGGGGAACATCCCCCTAAGATTTCAGCATTCTAGCTTCTCAAATCCCGAGTTATGAACTTACCCGAAAAAAGTTTTGGCGGGTCCGTACGCGGGGGATGGGTTTGAGCATACTAACCCTACTTGAACGGGGAACATCCCTCTAAGATTTCAGCGCTCTAGCTTCTCAGATCCCCGAGTTATGAACTTACCCCAAAAAAACTTTGGCGGGCCCGTATGCGGTACCACGCGGGTGATGGCTCCAATTTTGGGGATTTGGGTCGGCACGTGCATATGGATTAAGTTCCCGAAATTTCAGCCTTGCAGCTTTTACAGGTATTGAGATGAAAGTGCGTGACAGATGCGCACACAGACGCACAGACACATAGACAACCCCTCGTCAATACGCGTTTTTGCATTGCATAGCTGCAAAAAACGCATAAAAATGCATATTTTGACGATCCATGGTGTCTGTGTGTGTTTGGCTGTGAGTGTGTATGTGTGTCTGTTCAGTTACTTTAACTCAGCAATCAAATAAACTTAGATGCTGAAATTTTGGCAGTGCGTCCCCAGGGAAAGTGCGGTCTCAGGAACATGATATCAACTTTCACACACGTTTGAGTCTCACGTAAATGTCAAATCTTTAACGGGAAAAATGCTAACTCAGGAACTAGAAGAGCGAAGAAGTTGAGATTTTAGAAGGACGTTCTTTATTCATGTGCGATCCAAATATTTAAAATTCAGTTCCAAAGTGCTTGTAAAGCAGTACCACCCAAGTACAGCCGCATTAGCTGATCGCGAAAATGCATAATCGCACTATTTCCCTTGGCCCGCATTGCTACTTGACGGATTGCGGGAGCAAAAGTGCATTGATGTTTATGCATTGTGCGTCTGCGCAAATGATATGCACAGAGACTGCATATTTAAATCAGCATATTTGTCATGGCTTGACGGGTGTGATATCAACTTTTACACACTTTCGAGTCTTACATACAGAAACGTGAAACCTTTGGCGGGACGGGTATGCATTTATGCACGACAACTAGGCTTTCCTTTACCTGGCTAGACTGGAAGACGGGTTTGCAATGGTTGGGGTGTAGTCTCCTCCCTTCTTCAGATGGCGGGAGTAGAGTTGAAGTGGGTGAGAAGGGAGAGGGCCGAGATGGTGGTTTAGAGCTCAGAGTACTGTAAGGGCGGAGGAGAAGGGGCGAGGGAGGGGTAGGGGGAGTTTTTGATTGGAAAGGAACTGAAACCTTGTTTTGGCGGGAGGAGCTGCAAACACTGACAGGGACTATTGGGGCGGAGTTGTGTGTTAAACAAGAAACCCGAGGAAATTAACAAGTTTGAACGCGGCGCCTACAAAAGAAATCTGATACCTTTCTACAACTACGAAAGTAGGCGAGTCCAGAGGACGGCGAAAGGTCTTTCGCTCTCCCCCAATGATACAGGTACCAGTGCCGCAAAATCCCAGGTCTAAAGCTAAAACTGAAGTAGACTAAAGTCTAAAGCAACTCCAAATAGCAGTGTTACAACTCCGTTCCTAGCAAGGTGGGAGGCGGCTCCTCCCTCCGCCCAAGGGTCCGTCCAAGATCCGCCTATGACTACAAACTTCGTAGCTAGTATTCAAACGACAGTTACTAAAACTCGGCTGGCCCCGGATGTCGATTTACAATGATTGGAGAGGTGGTGCTGACAGGAAGGTGGGAGTGGGGAAGGGTGCTGGCAGAGGAGCAAGGGGCGCGGGCAAAGCAAGGAGTCCGGGGTGATAGTTTAGTTCTTGAAGGTCGCAAGGGACGGAGCAAGGCCACCGCCGCATTTTAGCAACTGCACTTACACTGTGGAAGCAACCGCTAAAACCCGGCCGAGGAGCGAGTTACAGGTGGAAGACTGGAGACCGAGGCGAGTGAGCGACGGGGGGGAAGGGGCGTGATGATTTAGATCTAGAAGCCATAACGGGGTGGGGAGGGGAGGAGAGACGAGGTTGTAAGGCGGTAAAGAAGCTGAGGTTCTGCTTGGGGGTAGGAACTGGAAACAGGGATGAGCTTTTTTTTTCTGAGGAGGGGGGGGGGAGATGCCTCCATAACTTTTTACGCTTAGCCTAAGACTTGCTGCTAAAATGGAATTAGCAGACCTGAATGCAACGCCTAAAGCCTTGTCTGGATAAAAGTCCGGCGGCACGGTATCCACAGCTTGAATTCGAACCCAAGAATTAGGGCATACTGCGCCGCCGAGTCAGCCGAGCTGAGACTTCCAACACTTGCCCGCAATAAGCCATTGCGAGCTGTAAAGGCAGTTACTAAAACTCGGCTCGCCTCAGCTGGCCAGGTTGGGGAGCGAGTTGCAATGACTGTGGTATGCCTTTCTGGATGGTGGGGTAGAGGTGGGGGTGGATGGGGTGAGCAGACGTCGGGGTTGTTGGTTTAGGCCGTGAGATGACTGGGGTACTAGCTGCAAAGGAGCTAACACTTGCTAAGGGGTAGAAGTTGAGGACGGTTATAGAGAGAGTAGAGGTGGGGAAGAGGGAGAGAGTTATATAGGTTCACGATGCTAAGCCAGAAACTAGGTGCTGAGTGAAAGCAAGTAAGCTTATGCTTGCGTTCCAAAATCTCATCGGATCAAAAAACACGGCACTTTTGTGCAACTATGATTTTCCCGACTTTCACTCAAACATGCAACCGAGTGCATTCTGCGTGATCGGGCTGAGCCGAGTTCCAGTAACTGCTTGGGGAAAGCAAGGGATAGCAGGAGTTGGAATAGGAGATACATCAACAAATGCCAGTTTTTGGAATAATGACCGTTCAGGTAGCCGGTATAAAAAAGGCTCGAAAATTTCACACTGTTGGCTTATTTGTCCCTGCATCTGTAATCCCAGCTCGTACTCTGATGATCAGTTAAGAAACAGTGAAACGTGAAAATTGATAATTTGAGTTTCGTTCGGTGAAATAACAGCCCAGCATTTCGGGTGCCATCAGTACATAAAGCTAGCACGAATTTGGATTTAGGATCATAGCTCAAGACGCTGTACGGTCAGGGCTTCATTCCGGGCTGCCTGTCCCGTGTTATTGGCGCTTTATCCGGTCATCAAATCCCATATTTCTAGCTCACTTAATTTTCGACTTACAACAGTTAGCCCGGATTTAGATTTGAATTTGTAGGTCAAGGCACGAGAAAATCTGGGAATTGATTTAAGCATGTCAAGAGTCAATAAATTTTGATGATCATTTATCCAACATATAAGTTTAGGCAGGACATTATGAGACAGCTTTTGATGGATATAGTTTCCGTGTCGTGAGCCTGATATCTTGTGCAGTGCTGTAAGAAAAGTGAAGTTGGCTGTAATTTTCCAAGGAATATTTCCCCCCTTATCGCTTCAAACTTTTTCTTTAGAAATTCTCGTTGCAGGGATACGGTATTTCCCAAAAGTTGAACCAGAAATTGTTCGTGTTGATCTGGGCGACCCGTACCAACGAAACTGCACACCGCCGGAGTCAAATCCACCAGCTCGGGTGTATTGGATTTTCAAAGTAAGCTTCTTTTTCACTTTGGACTATTAGCACTTGAATATTTGAGAGCACCATGTAGGAGCTGGTAATTGTTCTTGTTTTGCAATAGCACGTCACGGTATTGCAAGTGTCTGACTCAGATAGTCCAGAAATGATTGAGCGATGAGGTTGTAAACAGAGCTGAAAGAATGAAGCAGAAAACGAAGGAAGCTAAGTTTTTTTCTATTGTACGGTTTATGCTATTCGACATACATTACTATTGTTTTCTTGGATCATTGAATGGCCTACAGTGTTTTTTGGTTCCGAATTTCTTCTTTATGCCAGATTTGGGATAATCGTGATCTATTAATTAATTAGAACCACTGCTTTTCATTTCGGCGTCATATCCTTTGC